GATGATGCCCTGCGAGCTGGGTGCTCTGCCGGAAGGGACGAGGTTCCGCAGCACTTCCCAAAGCCTTGGGCCCAGCCAAGGATCCTGTGGGATTTCTCCTGCTATCCTCAGTGGGATTCCCACAGGGTCCTGGGGGCAAAGCTTAGCTTTTCCAACCAGCAAAATATCCCTATTGGTCTGTGGTCCAGGATCTTCCTCCTCCAGCCAGGTGTTTTCCCCTCTGGGCAGGGGTTGGATGAAGCAGGTCCCTGCTCCTGGGGTGCAGTGAGTGCCCATCCTTCCCCTTTCCTCCTCTCAGACCCTTCCCACCAGCAGACGAGCCCGGAGTGCTGCCGGGCAGGAGCCAGAGATGACCAAGGAAGACGACTTACCGGACTGGAACTCATCCAAGGAGTTTTATGAGAAGTATGAGCCGAAGGAGATTTTGGGCAGGTAAAGCTTGTTTTTAGCAAACTGTGGTTTCACATGTCCCAGTACCTGCTAGGAAGTGTCCCTCCTGGGAATCTGATATGAACGGGGCCCGTAGCAGCACGGGGTTAAAAATAGCGCAAAGCAGCGCTTTCCATCAGCTCAAAATGTGTCCGGCCAAGGCAGGGGAACAGCGGGAAGTGCCCGAAAATGCCAGCCTGCCCATGCCAACGGCACGGCTGCCACACTGGGCGGGTGGGCAGGACCTGGAAGTCCCACCTCGCCTGTGTTGTCCCTGGCAGGGGGGTGAGCAGCATCGTCCGTCGGTGCATTCACAAAGCCACGCGGCAGGAGTACGCCGTGAAGATCATCGACATCACGGCGGGTAACATATCCCCCAAGGAGGTGCAGGAGCTGCGAGAAGCCACCGCGAAAGAGATCGACATTCTCCGGAAAGTCTCAGGCCATCCCAATGTCAGTAAGTCAGGTGCTGAGCTCTGGGGCGAGGGGGGGTCTGCCCCATTTATTCTTCAACCAGGGTTTTGGGGTGAAATCCCAGGAGGGTCAGGCCCCCGATGGTCCTAACACGACGCAGGGCACCTGCTTAGAGCATCCTTTGCTCTGCTGCTGTGCCCAGGCTGTCTCCCAGCTGAAACATGAGGAAGATCAACTCCTCATTAATTCAATTAGCAATTAGATCAGAACTTTCAGCCCGTTAACAGACAGGAACGTGGCACATGCTGCGCTCACAGCCCCTGTGTTTTATTGCAGTCCAGCTGAAGGACAGCTATGAATCCAGCACCTTCTTCTTCTTGGTGTTTGACCTGTAAGTACCAGCTCGCCCGTCGCCCCAGGCCCGTTCCCGCGCTCAGACACCCCCCAGCCAGCACTCGCCCCAGCACTTTATGGCCCAAACAGGGCAAAGCGGGGGAAAGCCAGTTCTTGCTCCGGGTGGAAACGAGCCCGGATAGCTGCGAGCCGGCTCGTCGCA